TGTGGCCTTTTTCCATCATGAATGGCAGAAGCCTGCCTTTATGATTTACACTGGTTTGCTTTTTGGCCTTCCCTTGGCAGTCACGTCTTTCAATCGCTACAGTAGGCTGGTGGAAGCTTTGGCGCGTCGATTCACTTTCTGTTTGACCAGCTTGTATTTCGATGATGCTCATGTAACGGATAGAAAGTCTTGCAAAGGATCAGGTCAACGAGCCATGCAGTTTCTCAACAATCTTTTGGGCACACCCTTCTCAGCTGAGAAGTGCCAGAGGATGCAGCAATCAGGTACTTTCTTGGGGCTCGACCATGATTTCAGTCAGATTCACACCCAAGGTACCATCCAGTTCTGGGCCCGTGAACGCATCGAACAGAAGCTCCTTCACCTCATGAAGCACGCTGAGGATTCCAGCAAGCTTCAACCAGGAGTTGCAGCCAAGATCTATGGCGTGGCCAACTTCTTCGAGTTGGGAGTATGGGGGCGTATTGGTTGCGGAGGCTTAGCCCCAATCAAGCGCCGACAACAGGAGCGTACCTCAGAGTTCACTGAGGAACTGCGTCGATGCTTCGATTTGTTGCGCGCTGTCATTGCTACCAAACCCTCCAGGACAATCGAGATTTGGCCACATGCAGGGCCACGCTTTCTTGCAGCCTCAGATGCAGCCTTGGAAATCCCAGGCCAAGGGACAGGCGGCTTCTTGGTCGTCTGGCATGATGGCTGCCTCGAGCAGCGGGAGGCCTTTGTGTCGATCATCCCCCCAGTGGTGTACAACCTCTGGGAGCCAGGAGACACCAAGATTGCCCAACTGGAGCTGTTACAGGTTCTCTATGCGCTCTTCACCCGTCCATCGACGTTTCGTGGCCGTAGAGGACTTTGGTTCATTGATAATACCGCGGCGCTGATGGCTCTGATTCGAGGTCGTTCAGATAATGCAGATTTAGAACATATGACTCGTCTGATTCATATCACTCTTTTTGCACTCCAAGCCTGGTTTTTCTGGGAGTGGATCCCTAGCAAGGCCAACTGGTCCGACGAGATCAGTCGTGAGGGCCTCCAGGCGACATGGCACAAGCGCCATGGGTTCACCACGCATTTCGCAGTTTTCCCCTTCGAGCTGTGGTCTCTACCACTTCCTGCGTTTCTTCAGGTCGTGGAGTCTCTCTAAGTGCTTTGGGAGGAATGAAGTGCATTGGGAAAGATTCACCCTGTGTAGCCTCCTGGGTTGACAGGAGTGCGGAACAGGGAGTATGGATCTAACCAGTGCTGCTGTGTAGGAGGATACCTACACAGCTACCCAAAGCATTAATCCTGCTGGAGGCAGGTTGAGACCAGACGAAGCGACAGGAAATAGGAAAAAGGATATGCGGGCGTGAACCTGGTGTGAACGAGTGTCTTTAACATCTATGCTTTACACCTCACATCTAATGTATGTATGCATCGTGTTTGGCAGGCACTGGGTGTGCATTATCATTAGGGTGAGTGTGTAAGTTGATGAATCCATTTTGGCTCAAGTCTGAGCCAAACTGGCTTCATCATTCTTCTTTTCCCTCCCTTCCCTCCCTATGAGATAGGACTCCTGTGGAGTATCCTCTCTTGTAGGGGATCACATCATTGCGGATGTTGATCTCTACGTGTCGTTGCACGACTGAGCACTAGGTGGGAAAGATTCACCCTGTGTAGCCTCCTGGGTTGACAGGAGTGCGGAACAGGGAGTATGGATCTAACCAGTGCTGCTGTGTAGGAGGATACCTACACAGCTACCCAAAGCATTAATCCTGCTGGAGGCAGGTTGAGACCAGACGAAGCGACAGGAAATAGGAAAAAGGATATGCGGGCGTGAACCTGGTGTGAACGAGTGTCTTTAACATCTATGCTTTACACCTCACATCTAATGTATATATATATATATACACGCCATATTCTCTCTCAGATCTTTAGAGCTCTTGCTCCGCCCCCATCTAACGGCCCCTGCCATTGACCCAGGAAGGGCTCGCTGCGATCAGATCATCGCATTGTCTCTGTAACCTCATCGGCGGCGTTGGACGCGCAACTGGATCTGGCGGATTTGACGTGGGAGAAGAGGAGATGACAGGGGATTCCCCCAAAAATGCTGACTTTTCCCATAGAAATAGTGATTTCACCCAGGAAAATGGTGATTTAAGCCATAGAGATGATGATGTCACGGGCGGAAGTGGAGATTTCACCAGCAGAAATAATGATTTCACCAGCAGAAATGGCAATTTAAACGGCAAAAATGATGATTTGACCAACTGATACTTGGGAGATACTTATAGTTTTAGTCAATTTTCGATTTTGTCCCAATCAACTGAGGAGATTGTGAACTGATCAACTTATTAATCATTGAATTAATCCAGGGAGGTCTGTCAGGAGCTCAGGAGGCTCAGGTCAACCCAGCCTGAGCCATTTCGCAAACATATCCCCATGAAAACCAGGGGTTATATATATATCATGATTTTCCATCCTCGGCCGAGTACCGTTCCCCACCCTCTCTCTGCTTGGGCGTGTTTTTTTTTCCCCCCCCGAAGCAATATTATGGAGGTTCCTCTAAGGGTACCCCCAATCATCCATGTCACTAGACCATGACTCAGTAATGAAACAACCATGGTGACTTGGGGATACCCCATGACTTAAGAACCCCCCCATAATTGTATAGAAAGTGGTTAGTAACAGTATTGCAGCCCATTATAACATTGGATTACTTATAAGATTGGTAGTGTATTATTGCTGATTTGTGATTGGATCATTGGATAAATCCAAAATAATCAGGAGCTCCAATGATGATTCCAATGATTGATACATGCGATATATGATTGATAAGGCCCTGATTATGATTTGTTGTATCATTATCGATAATGCAATATCATCCCCAACCTTGTATAGGTAGCATTACATACATGGAAAATCACCATAACTGGCAAAATATGATGTAGTTTTTTGTTGACTACTAAAGATTGACCATGATTGACAAACAACTTTGGTAGTCAACAAAAAACTTTGGTAGTCAAACTCTGGTGATCATTTTTCAAAATTTCAGGGTTCCTTTTGATTGACCATGATATTCTCAGTTGCCCTGAGAATTTTGAAAGGAGCTACGGCCGGCACGATGCCTATGCGACCTCCAAGGCATGCAACGTGCTCTTTAGCGACCAGCTTTCGCGACGCCTTCGCGCCGCGGGAACCATGGGGAGCTCCAACTGCATTGATCCAGGGCCAACAGCGACGCAGATTGTGACTCCAGAGTTTTGTTAATGATTCTTTTTCCATATTTTTCCAAGAACTTTTCATCCATGTTTGCAAACAATATTATTCAATTGTCAAACAGTGTTTGATACGCCACTCTTAAATAGTTGTAGTTTTACAATTTTGAAAACGTACCTCTTAATCGTGTCAAGAGATTTTGATACGTTTTCAGGAGTTTTTGATTCTGTAGATTTGTAGACATGCTCAGGTTAATCATTAATTTTGGAGTGGGTATATCGAAACGTTGTAGACCCAGCAATATACTATGTACATACCTATAATTCCCATTAATTCTACCATTTGGCTGTTTGATAAAGCTTTAAAGCTCGGAGTTTCTTCAGGTTGGGTTTCCCACATTCCAGGTGAGATATGCCTACCCGGAGCGCGCCTTACAGCGGAAGGACATGACTCCTGTGCAGCTGGAAAAACAAGCCAGGATGTTTGGACTGAAGACTCCAAGCCAGGCAAGGGGTTTGAAAAATAGCTGTGGCCCTCTACCCCCAAGGTATGGCAATCTTATTGGTAGCCCGATCAGCGGATCAAGGGGTACCCAGACATGGGATGTTTTCAGGATAGAGATGCACTAGGGGGATGAAGAAATATGGTGTCATCAAACATTGGACACTTTCTGATGTTTTTGCCATTGACATGTCCAATGAATTGAGGATTTTCACCTTCATTTTTCCCAATACTTCCATGGTTCCCCTTAAAAACCTCCATCCCTTCACCTTCAAAGCGCCATTTCTTCCATGAAAAACCACCATTTTTCCCGGTGATTTCCCAGGCGGCTCAGGGTCTGGTCTGGCTCAGCGACTCCCCGGACGTACGCCAGGTGCCGGACGGCCAGTGGTGGAGCGGCCCCGCGAGGCTCTTCCCCGCGGTGGATGTGCCGTGGCGCAACGAGGCAATGGCGCAGCAGCTCTGGGAGAAGAGCGAGGAATTGGTGAAGCCATTTCTGGCCTGAAGATTTTTTTTTGGGGGGATCTAATAGAATCTTCATGAATCTTCATGGATTTTTTAATGTGGTTGGTACATCTTGGTACATGTTGGTACCCTCCGGTGTCATCAAACATGGCCCTGAACTAGCTATGGAGGTCTGCAAATGGATCACCAATGGTGTGAAGATGTGGGTTGTCCGAAAAATAGGTGATACCATGGGATACCCATAAAACATCATAAAACCTTTTAATGGAAGATATCATGATTGCCCATGTCGAGATATTTGATGGATCAATCCGGGTCAAGAGATTGCAATCTCTGGAGCTGATATTTGAAAATAGGGATTTCTACTAGCCAACATGGGGATTCAACCAATGAATCATGGATATGGGTCACCCAACATGGCAATTTTTTGATAGGGCAAATGATTAAAAAGCATGGCTTTTGGCGATCGCCTATTTCCAGACAAACCTACATTTCGGCAGTAGGTCAACATTTTAAAGGCCACAGATTTCCAAGTGATCTCTGAAGATTTAGCGATCTGGATGCTGGGACCAAAGAGTCCCAACTGTGCTCGATTCATTTGAAGGATGTGCTGTCACCCTTGCCAGCAAGAGCGCCTGCCGGTTTCACAACTTGGGATGATTCGTAATATTCACAACGAACTGATCATTTTCTAGAACATCTTCTGTCGTTCTGCAACCAGATGTTTGTCCAAAAATGGGGTCCCCGTGGGTCCCCCAAAATCCAGTGGCTTCAGTTGGGCTAATTTCCAGAACTCCACCGGCTCCACCGGTCGTCAGGACCTGTCCTACAAGACCATCTGCTCCCTAGTGAAGCGCGTCCCCGAGCAGGTGAAGGTGGATCTGATGGGAACAGAAGTGGTTCAGAAACCGTGGCGAAACGTCACAACGATGCGTGTTTCAAAAGATCAAATGGGTATGGATCAATACCTATTAATACCATTTTTAGGGGAATGAACATCCATTTACCAGCTATTTTGATGTTCACCAGGGGTACAAGGTTTTGACACACTGCCAAATCCCTGCAAGGTTCTGAAAGAATCCAAAAGCCCAAAAAGGGTGGTTCCAGGAAATGGAGAATCAAAATCCAGCATTTCATAGTGGTAAGGAGAAACTTTACCTTGCAACACAGACCTGGAACAGCAAAAGCTGCGCCATAAAGCTATTCCTTGCCTTTTTTGTGCCAGATCCCCAATTGCAGAAGACCAATGTCCTGCTGTTCTGTTGAGCCATTATAGTCCATTGAAGTGCGATGTCATGTTGACAACATCAGACACGGATTATGGGGATTATTTTTAATTTTGATCATGTTTCATCCGAGACTACTTTGGTTTGTTCAACAGTAGCCCAAATGACTAGCGTTCATGTTCCAACTCATCTGCGAGGCTTTACCCCTTCAGGGGGAGGGGGCACTGATCGACATCAAAGCGAAGTCTTCCTTCGGTGCGTCGAGGGATGCTGGGGTAGTCATTGGGGGACACAGCGGGAAGCCACAAATCGCTGGTCGCTTTTTTATTCTTTAAGGAGGATAGGAGGCTTAAACCATCTTTTTTTTGGTGGGGCTGGATGATCATCATGTCCCATAGGCGGCTATAAAGAAGAAGGAAAGAACACAACATGTGGGCAAGAAACCCGACATCGGAAGACTACCGGCAAGTGGAAACTCAATCCACAGAAAAGGAAGAAGACCATCCAGGGTAAATGGGACGATGGGCAAGAACTCAAACGCTTATTTACAAGCAACAAACAACTGGATGTAACTAACATTCATCATTAACATTCATCATTAACATTCATCATTAACATTCATCAACCCAAATATGGGCACTCCAGTGCAAAGGAGAGAAAATCAATGGCAGCATCAACCAGCAATTAGCCAGCCACCTGCATCATGATATCAGGACCATGGCTCCAAGCCTTGATTTCATGAGAAAATTTCCAGGTGCCAGTGGCAAGGATGGTACAGCAGGATCTGCATGAGTCCCGGTTACAGCAGGGCACCTTCGCTTTGGAAAGCGGCTGGAGTACAAAGTCTTCAACATCAACTTCAGCAAAATTTCACAAACAAAATTCCAATTGACATCATTTTACATCGCCAATTTCAGTGAATTACTTGTAATATCTTGTAGTTTATCCAGATTGATCCCTAATTTCTGTTCCTTTTCGAAGTTGAGGGCTGCCACGATGCCCAAAACCTGTGAGGTGCTTTCACCGCAGGGAGGTCCTCGGAGTGAGCCCGGAACCTTGAGCGGAACACGGGTGATAAATGTGTTTAGGAAGCCATAGAAATATGGTGCTTTTAACAGAAATATGTGGTTAGGAACCTCGAAATTTGGGGATTTTCCAGGCCATGTTTGATTACCAGAGGGTAAGAACCATAGAGAAGCTGCTGAATGAGAGAAACTATGTATCCCCAGGGCGCTAGAGATGGCTGGCGTTGATCGTTGCCAGTGCTGGATGGGTCCGAAAATGGGTGTCAGAAAATGGGGTACATCATGGTATATCCTCAATTTTAGTTTTTTTTTTATAGGATATCATGATAAGAAAATGATCAACCAGTGGACTATGATGGAATTGTTTTTTTCCGCATCACTTTCAGGTACCAAACCCAGCTGTCACCGTTTCGTCAAATCATGCGAGGTTGGTTTCTTTCCTGGAGACTGGCATCAGTTCGCTGATCAATTGCGATGAGCTATCGCTGGCTGATCAAGTGGCATCAGGCCGACTTCAACTGCGACCTCAAAGCACTGTTCTTTTGGGAGACAAGAAAATATGGGGATTGGTCAAAACCTGTATATTACATATATATATATGATTATATATGCATATGTATATATAATTATATATATATGTATGTATGTATGTATGTATGTATGTATGTATGTACGTATGTATGTATGTATAATACCATGTTTTAGAGAGATGAACATCCATTTGTCATCATTTGTCAGCTATTTTGAAGTGTTCACAGAAGGGGATTCCCAGATGACACCCGCGTCCTGCCACTTTGTCCCCTTAGAACCTGCTCTACCTGTAGAATCCACACGAATTTCGAACAAATTCACACATCTTCATTTGTTTGGCCAGTCCGAAACATGATTACAAGGTAAAAAACATGACAGAATCATACTGATTGCAAGTAACCAAATATGGAAAAAAACACACAGACATTTTATAAAAAAACAGCAATTGTCAACCAACAAAATCACTGACCAATCTGATCGCTGCAGGTTTCGGCTTCGAAAGCTCGGACCAAAAGCTGGCCATGACTTTGGCATCCGTGGCCGGTGGGATTCCCAGATGACATCAGGATCCATGGAAAGATCTGTGGAAAACTGGGGGAGTTCAGCGAGAAAAATGATGGTTTCATGGGGATAGACTAGGGATTTCAATGGAGGATTCATAGATTGGATTCATGTTATGTAATTTTTTTGAACAATTTTTGCCAAAATGCGAAAGAGGCAGCTGGAATAGACACCAAAAATTACAGGTTTGAGGTTGCGCATGCGCTAAGTAGATGGGTAGACCTCCATGTTTCACAAGCAGTGGGCACATGATACCTGATTTGAGAACATGACTGGAAAATGGTTAAATCCGACTGTTTTCTATTTTTGTTGATCAATTTGCATCCTGTAGTTTGTTTACCCTTCACGTTTGGTGTAATCCCACAAGTGAAGGGAAAATCTACAGGCTTCACAATCCATAGCTGGTTGGTGGTTTGGAACATTTCTTTTTTCCCACATATTGGGAATAGTAACCCCAACTGACTTTCATATTTTTCAGAGGGGTAGGTATACCACCAACCAGATAGTTTATGGAAAAAAAAACCCTGGGGTTCCATTGGTTTCCTCCTGGTTTTTCCTGAAACCCATCCCAGTGTGAGGCGGAAAGCACCTGCAAGCCGTCCGGGTCTCTCCACTGGAGTTGGAGACTCAACGCTTTTCATGGGGGCATCAACTGTGGATGTACCCAGCAAATCCAGATTTTCTTATGGCCAGCATAGACTTTTGGTGATTGAACCTGATTTCACCCAGCATAAAAGGAAGCTAGCTTGATATAACTTGAAGAAATCCTGATAGAACTTGAACAACTCATTCCGTTCAACCAGAAAACTTACCTTTCTCAACATCTTGCAACACCTGCAGATCAGTTGCATGTTGAGAAATGGCAGCAGCTATAGCCGAGGCCCAGTGAAGCTGCTGTAGCTGCAGCGGAGTCGGGGCCCAGCATGAGTAGTGGAGCTTCCAAACTGGCTGGTTCACTTATCGGTTACATAGGCACCTGCAAAAAGATAGGTAGCTTCCCACTATCCAATAATAAGGGTAAATGATTCTTCCATCTTTTTGGGGAGTTACTGGTAAACTATGGTAAACTTGTAAATCTTCCACATGTTGAGAATTTCATGATACCCTCTGGTAATTTAACATAGCGAACTGGAAAATCACCATTTTTCATGGGAAAATCCACTATTTCTATGGCCATTTTCCATAGCTATTTTGACATTACCAGAGGGTAATTGTGCTGATTCAAAAAATCGACGAAGCAAACTTGTGGGATTTAAGGGTGATGACCTGAGGTCAGGGGATGCTGAACCTCTACTGAAGGAACTGGGCTCGTGGTTGCCTGAGACTGGTGACGTTGCCAATGGCTAGCCAGGCTGGCTCTGAAAATAGGGATTTAAGCCACAACAATGGCGATTTCAATGAGGGAAATGATCATGAAATGATCATGAAATATCATGGATTCAGGGGGTTGCCCTATTTTCCGACGTACCCACATGGATGGTTTCACCAACAAGGTGCAGAGATGAATACAGAATAACAGCCGAGGATCTACAACTACCTAAAATCGCGGCAAAACCACAGAACTTGGACGGTGGCATTCTGAACATGACCAACCAATCTCTGGGTTGCGGCGTCCAAATTGATCCTTACCCAACTAGTAATGGCCGATTGAACATAGACGCAACAATGTTTGGCATTGGGGTGGAGAGCTCCTGCCATCTAAATCACAGTGCAACAAACATTCAATGAACATGCTTTATCTTGTCGCTTGAAGAACATGGGGTCAGAAAAAGGAAGAACGTGGGAATTGCCACCCAAAAAAGAACAGAACAGGCCACTGTGGGAGTGCGCAAATTGCAGCATTTCCTGTGCAAAGATCCAACAGCATATGGCGCAACCGGACAAAATTGAATTCCATTCCTCTCTGCTGTTCATTGGCTGAATGCACTATGTCATAGCAAACATTGCTGTACTGTAGTGTATCGACCTTGCTTCTAGTGCAACCACTGACAGTGCCTGGCAATCTCTGCTTGGCACATCTGCAATGGCTATCCAAACCAAAAAAACAAAAAACAAAAAAAACAAAAAAACAAAAAAACAAAAAAAACAAAAAAACAAAAAGACAAGACCCAACACTCTGCATCTGACCCCCTCCCCTTGGGGTGTGCAATCTTGTTTTTTTTTGTTTTTTTTGTTTTTTTGGTTTTTTGGTTTCTTGGTTTTTTGTTTTTTTGGTTTTTCCATGGATTTTTGCAGTTTGGCCAAAACCTCGAGAAAAAAAAAAAAAACACAAAAAGTTCAGACCCATGGGCAAGGTCTGTGCTCTCCACACACAAACCAAAACACCAAAAAAACAAGAAACCAAAAAACCAAAAAACCAAAACAAAAAAAAAACAAGATTGCACACCCCAAGGGGAGGGGGTCAGATGCAGAGTGTTGGGTCTTGTCTTTTTGTTTTTTTTGTATTTTTTGTTTTTTTGGTTTTTTGGTTTTTTGTTTTTTGTTTTTTTGGTTTTTTGGTTTCTTGGTTTTTTGTTTTTTTGGTTTTTTGGTTTGTGTGTGGATAGCCCAGACCTTGCCCATGGGTCTGATTTTTTTTTTGTTTTTTTTTTGGTGTTCTTGAGGTTTTGGCCAAACTGCAAAAAACCATGGAAAAACCAAAAAAAAAAAAACCAGTTCAGACCCATGTACCCTGCCAGGCCTCTCCCCAGACCTTGCCCATGGGTCTGAACTTTTTTGTTTTTGTTTTTTCCATTGTTGTTTTGAATGTTTTTCATGTGAAGATGCTTTCATCACAGTACCTCTCAAAAAAATGCGCGTCTCTACAATTTGCACACCTGCGCCCCCCAGGCCAAACTGCAAAAAAATCCATGGAAAAAACAAAATTCATTTAATGACTTATATAATGACTAATATAATGATTAATATAATGATTAATGTAATGACTTATTTTTTCATGAATATAATGACTAATATAATGATTAATATAATGATCAATATAATGATTCATAAAATGATCAACATCTGATTATTATAATGATTAATTTAATGATTAATTTAATAATTATTTAAATGAAGATTTTAATGATTAATATCATGATTATTATCATGATTCATATAATGATTAATGTAATGGTTCATATAATGCCTAATGCAATGACTAATATAATTAATATAATGATTCATATAATGATAAATATAATGATTCATTTCATCATTCATTTAATGACGTTTATAATGACTAATATAATGACTAACAAAATGATTAATGTAATGATTTATGTAATGGCTGAAATAATAATTCATTCGTTGACTAACATAATGATTAATATCATGATTCATAGAATGATAAATATAATGATTAATATAATGATTCATTTAATGATAGATAGAATTATTCATTGCATGATTCATGTAATGACTTTTATAATGACTAGTATCATGATTATATTTAAAGAATGATTAATATAATGATTACTATTATGATGAATACAATGATTAATATCATGAGTAAAATACTGACTAATTTAATGAATTTATATACAATGAGTAATGTAATGATTAATAAAATGATTAATAAAATGATTAATATAATGATTCATTTAATAACTGATATAATGATAAATGCAATGGCTAATATAATGAATGTTATAGTGATTAGTATAATGATTGATTTAATGATTAATATATTGATTAATATATATATAATGATTGAAACATCATATAATGACTAATAAAATGATCAATATAATGATTCATAAAATGATCAACATCATGATTATTATAATGATTAATTTAATGATTAATTTAATATTTATTTAAATGAAGATTTTAATGATTAATATCATGATTATTATCATGATTCATATAATGATTAATGTAATGGTTCATATAATGCCTAATGCAATGACTAATATAATTAATATAATGATTAATATAATGATTCATATAATGATAGATATAATGATTCATTTCATGATTCATTTAATGACTTTTATAATGACAAAGATAATGATTAATATAACGATTTTTGTAATGGCTGATATACTTGATAATTTATTGACTAATATAGTGATTAATATAATGATATATATATAATGACTAATATAATGATTAATAAAATGATTAATATAATGAATTATTTAATAACTGATATAATGATGATTCATTTAATGTTTCATTTAATTATTAATTTAATGATTCATATAATCATAAATATAATGATTCATATAATGATAAAAATAATGACTTATATAATGACTAATAAAATGACTAATATAATGACTAATATAATGACTAATATAATGATTAATGTAATGACTGCATGGAAAAAAGTGCACTCCCACAGCGGCCAGCTCTCAAAAAGAACTACAGAAACTCCAACTATCTCCAACTCACTGCTTTCCCACAAAAATGCGGACCTTTCCAGTGGCAAGGCACTGCTCCTCACGCATCGCCTTGTACTGTCGCAGATGCCAGGGACGCCGAGAAACATATGGGGGATATCATGGGGATATACTGGGGATATGGATATGGTGTGCAGATACATCACCAATATGGGATCTCTGAGGTATTTGGGTCAGTCTCGTTTTATCTTATGGTAAAAGTGTAAAAGTAAAGTAGATACAGTAAATCGTGGTGGGTCATGGTGTCAAACACACATGTTCAACAGAGATGGAGACTAAGAAGAACATGGGGAGTACGACCGCTAGGAATGATTGTTGCTTCGTGGTTTTGAAGATGATCTGGGTGAACTATTAGAACCCCAGGAACGAACTTGCCAAAGCTGATTTCGGGTGTGTACATGTTATTTGGGAATGATGGCTGTGTATTTGGGGTGGTGCCCCACAATGATAGTCATGAAATAGCGGGACGCACAAGGAGTTCGGCGATGAATTTTCATAGTGTCTCAACCACCATACGGGATCTTCATGAAAGAAACATTTGCATGCCCGGTATGGTCAAAGATTGGAGGATACCCCTCTGGGCCAAGCCATTGGTTTCACAGCCAAATTTTATGGAATAGGAGAAAGTGAAGAAACTCGTCATGCCAGGCTCTTGATTTTTGCTCCGGGCTTTTCGACATGGATCCAAAAGTCATTTCCCTCAGGCATGATGTTCTACTTGGTCTCCAGAAGCATTGAGATGGACTACCAAGAGGCTGGGGTGATGGAAGACCCTTGCATGATCCAATTCTGACCGTTTTCATGAGATGAAAGGACCTGGTAATCATTCACTGGGTGGATTTCGGGGAAATTGGAAAGGAACATCAGGAAACCACTGGTGAACTACGATTCTTTTTTGATAATTCCTAGCATCAAGAAATAGCTAGGCTAGCTGACTGGTTTTCCAGTCAATTCTCCCTTAACCATGAACCAATCTTCGTATATTGGCCCTTGTAGCTGCACTCCAACAACTTCCCTCATGGATTCCCAGCAAAATCTGGGTGGAAAGATCCCAAGCTGAATCTATCCCAGATCAAGTCCATCATTCTTTTAAGCGCCACAAGATCCAGATTTTGTTTCCCAATCTCCAGGAATCAGAGGTTGAAAATGCTTCAAATATCTTCAAATCAAGAGACTTTCCCACCTGGCCAGGGTGGCCAGATGCTCGATGTTTTCCCAGTTTTCCGAAGTCCCAAGTGGGCCACCGCCAAGGTCAAAAAGGTCGAACCCACCCGGCTGCTCTCGCTACTCCTGAGCCCACAGTCTGAGGGCCTGGAAAATTCACTGGCTGAACACCAGCCTCGAATCCCCGGGGGTGTTTAAAAGTTGATTTATGGATATTTAGGCTACTTTTAAACAACCCCAGGCTTCGAATTAGGATACATACACCGGATATTTAGGATATTTATGGATATATTTAGGCTTACTTTCCCATTCAAATATCCACATAATCACATCCACATATATATACATCCACCATTTGGGGAGTTGATAGAGAACATTGTGTCTCTGCCTTGGAATCGACCCCTGAAGCAACAGCCCCAGACAACGAGCCAACGCTGCGCTGCCGGGCCATAACTGAGGCCATACGTGGCTGACTTCGAGCTTTGTAGGCGTGCCAAATAGTCCCAAATATGTGTAAATCCCCTACGAAAGCATGGAGGATGTTTAATTTAAGGGGGAAGGGATTACTATGCTATTGGAGCTAGGAGGGGACGGTCACAACTAAATTAATTATATAGATTAGTTTAGATGGCCCATCAGGGCCAAGTCATGCATAGTCATGCTTGGCTTGCCGGAAAACAGTCGTAGAGTCGTAAAGCATCACAAATCAGAGAAGGACCTACTCCCGTCGTGTGTCTTTGCATGTGACATGTTCCAGGCAACATGTGTTTACAGGTAGTTTAGTGTTTAGGCCTTGCAGTCCTGCTTCAGGACTAGGGAAAAACAGGAATGATAATGGCGCACCACTTTGGAATCATTGAGCCCTAAAACGGAGGGTTGACTGCAAGCTAAAACCCGCACAATTTTGGGGGGCACTGAACTCTGAACCCCAAACATCTTGATCCTTCTTGGGAATGCAGTTCTAGTTAATCATAAGTTGTGAGTTGATAGATAAAAGTTATTGTCCCAACTTGTGGAGGTTATAATCCCATGGTTATACCGTTAAACCGTTATACCTATTAAATACCTCTGGCCCGCACCCTTGACCCATGGAGGAATCTCATCACCTGCTTCTCGCGGCCGCTGGATGCAAGCGCAGTGGCTGAGGCCCACTATGGGGTTCCCCTGAAGATTGGGTCATTTGGGGATCTGAAAACATCCAACCTCTATTGGGTCAATAGATTTTGACCCATTCCCATGTGTTGATCAGTTCTCAGTTTCCAAGATTTCGTTTAACCGTGTGTTCAAGTGTGCCATGTGTTGATCATGTGGGCGTGATTTTGGACTGCTACCCAGCCCTCCAGAGCTGCTGAGTCTCGGTATTTGGAGGGACCTCTCCTCTATCAATTAGCAGCCAATTGATTATTTTCCAAAGTAAGGGTAATTTCACCCCTTAAGCCTGCATGCTATCTCCAACTTAATGACTGCAGTCACTGGCTGTGACTCTCACACTTTTTCTTCGACAGGTGCTGGCGAATGCTTTTGTGGAATCGATGTGAGGGTGCTCAGCTGAAGGTAATTGCCAACCTACAGATTATGCAGTATTTGAAAATAATTGTCAGCCTCCGAGGTAGTAATCTTTTGATTGAAAAACTGATAGGGTAGTAATTTATGTGGTCTTTCGAAATCCTGTGCAGCCTCGAAGACAAGAATTGTGTTGATTGAAAAATCTGATATGCTCAAAGATTCCTTCGGCTTCCAGGACAGCTAACCCATTCTAAAAGTTGCCGAGGCTGTCGAATGGCGTCATGCCATGGACAGACGAGAAGTTGGACGAATTCGTGGGGCTGTTGAGTCCGTCGCAGGTGGCAACCTGGTGATCGTTGTGGGTTATCCATGGTTGTCCCAGATATTTCAGTGGGTGAACCAATGATGGTTCCGAAGCACAACTGGAACAACTGGAATGATCCTCCAAGTAGTGAATGGATCTGAAAGAGTGTGAACTGGGCTCATGTCTGAAAGAACTCTGTGAAGCTTTAACTGGCGCAGGAGCTCCTAGGCAACGCGGCTTTGTTCTGGATTCCAAGCTTCAGGTGGGGGATGGCATGAGGGGGGCACTTTTTGTCGGCCTAAAAAAGGGGTGGATCCTGAAATGTTGAAAATAGAATGCAGCAACCCCAAAATAGATTGAAAAGATTGGAACAAAGAGAAACCAACCTCCTGCTTAATAGCAGTAAATATCATCTGCAACCTCCTGGAATCCACTTTTCTATCTTTTTGGGGATGGCTACACCCCAAAACCCAATTCGCCATTTTGAGGTCAATTTGCACCAATGGGAGGGCTACCCACAATGGCTGTGCAACCCCAACAGGAGGTAGAGCTTTACCAATGCGCCACCCGGAGTCCTCACATCCTTCTTGCAGGAGGGACATCAAGGTCGACTACGCATCTCAAATTGTGCTTCACTTGGCTTATTTTGTTCAGCCACTCTTTGAAATCAACCGATTCACAAAAGACCCAAAAGTGGGTTGAACCAGGTTCAGCAGGTGCTTTCCGGTTTTTTCGTGAAGCTTTTGCTTTTCGACAAAGACAAGTGAGGCCCAACAAGTCTTGGACCCGGAGACAGAAGTGGAAGTGCTGGTGATGGCGTACCATTCCTACGTGCAGGTGCGCTGTTTGGTGATTCTCAGAATATTCCAGAATCAGATTGTGCAGAAATGGGGTATACAGCGGTATACAGTATACAGTATAAAAGAGTAGGGAAACTGGTCCAGGAAATTTTCTGGTGCCAGTTTTGGAGACAACCCCAGATGTTTGGAGGACTTTGGTGTCTTGGAAATTTGATAGATGCCCTTAGCATTCTGTGCGAACTCAAAAAAGATAAGCTCGGGGTGGTTGGAAGGCTTTGAGAACGTGCACTACCCCAAAGTGGATATTGCACCCATAGGACCTTAGTTGATGTGGTTCCAGATGTGGTTTTGGCACGAGGTCAGCACCTGACTTTCAGCAGATCCACCCTGGGGCCATCACAGATGCATTTGTTGACCTGGACGATGGCTGATGCAAAAAAGAATGGAGATGGATGCAGCATAGTCTCAACAGAACAGTTTCAGAAGCATATTTTGTTCTTCACTGAAACTGTTGATGTTGATCCTAAGCGCAATACTCCCAAGAATCATCGAGAATCTTTCCAAACATATCCACAAAATGCATCCATGCAGATATGACACCATTAATACCCATCCATACCCTAACCACCCCTAACCCAGCAGTGTGACCTGGTTTCCCATGGTTTCCAGTCACACGTCAGCCGCAATCAGGGATGTTGTGAGCGATCCGTGAGTGAGTCTGGAGCTCGGTTGGGAAAGCCATAGCTTTCCCAGACCCCAATCGACCAGGACGGATTTTTGGGTTTGATGATGTTAGATGAGGTTGGGGTTGGGTTCATTCATGTTAATGTTCATTTTGTATCCCAATATAACATAATATACCCTCTGGTAATTTAACATAGCTATGGAAAATCACCATGATTAATGGGAAAATCCACTATATATGGTCATTTTCAATAGCTATGTTAAATTACCAGAGGGTAACCCAATTTGAGATGATGTTTGCCGTGTTTCCTCGGAATTGGATGGGTCATTCAGCGGGTCACATCGCTGCATCACTGGTGTTTCCATCGTCACTAGGCTACTGGCCTTCCTCCATTCCCGAGCTGAGATGTATGTCTGGCACTCAGAGCTACTGCCTTCTTAAGGGAACATCGCTGATTAAAGTTTCCATCCAGTAAAGTCATGGCTTTAGAATTTTAGAGAATTTTCAAAGTTGTTTTTTTGGGGGTCGTGGAATGTCATGATGCCTCATTGATACTTCTAAATTCATGATTTCGATTCATTTCATGTGTATGCCTGTCTCAGAACAACGTCATCAATTCATGGTGCCATTGCCACCATTACATATTACCTGTGAAGTGACGAGGTGAATCGGGGACACTTTCACCTCTTGGTTCGGCTGTTGGTGGCAATTCCGGAGTACCATGCTATGGTCTGGCCGCCTAACATGCCTCATTTGTTGAAACTGACTTTCAAACTTGCTCTGTGCGGGTCCCGGGTCAGGCCCGGATCCAGAGTGATACCAGCAACCTTTCACCCGAGATCCCAAGATCCACGAATCCACGGTGCCAGGAATACATGTTCGGCTTGTTGGCTTGGAACCCAGAAGCCACCCATGGGACACAAATCTTTCACCATTTTCGGTGTTCAATCTTTGGGTTGTCACCGTTGTCACCTCTCAGGTCAGACATGGGCAGTTGCAGCTGCTGCTTTCGGAAGGCAAACGTACCTGGCAGGACCACCTGGTGATGTGGTTGGTGACCCCTGAGCCCTGTTGACTGTTGACCCCTGTTGCTTGATGCCTCCTTATGCACCAGCACCATCACCATACCAGGACGCAGCCTGCAAGACGTATGGTCAGCATTCACCATTGGCAGTGGCATTGATCAGGTGCAGAATCTGGGCTGAGTTGGAAAGAGATGGTTCTTGTGAATGTGGCGCAGCTATAGATGGTACGAACCTGCTTTGTTGATGTTTGCTGGGGTGAATTGACACTCAATCATGGAGATCCTGCGCGATCTCATTCTCAATTTCCTTTCTATCACTTGGAGGCAACTTGGAGGTTTCCATAAATGGGGATACTCCAAATGGCTGGTTTATAATAGAAAAACCCAAACAAAAATGGATGATTTGGGGGTACCGGGTATCCCCATGACTTAGGAAACCCTCACTTCGGATTGCAAGATCACCAGCCGGCAGGTATTTGCACGCCCACTTCCCACTTGATTTGGAGGTTCAAGTCCAAGTGCGCCAGGGATCAACAAAAGGGTGGGTCCACATACCACTTGGGTGTGTCCATAATATATGATAGATATTGATAGATTCCATTCAACTGGATCCAACCACAAAATCAGCAGCTGCTAGGTACACTGCTGTTTCGGGATGGAAGCCGAATTGGCCGAGCTATTGGAAACAAAGGTCGGCCGCAGCCATTGAAAGATTAGAGATGGATGGAGGGTCCAACCTGCCAGGATTCCGAAGCTTAGTCAAAATCTGATGGGTGCAACCCCATGACATGTTTAATGGTTTCTGTGGGCAGCTGTAGTGGGGGTGGCCGGGACCCTTCTGCGGGGCATAACTTATGTAATCCTTGACTCATAGGGTCTGTTGACTTCTGAAATATGTAGTTAAACTGGACATTATATCAAATCAAACCACTACAACTTCATCATTTAGGGATGGGATCAGCACCCGTTCTTCCGGTTATTCCCATATTTTGGGGAACAAACATCTAGTAACTCACTATTTTGGGTCACTTGGGGCCCACAAGGCTTTTGACTCATAGCCATTTGGACCTCGCAGGCCGGGGAAATCGCAGAGCGCTTAGGCGCAGTGTCTCCGCCAAGGGGTTGGATCCACCTTGACTTAGCCACGCAGTGCCAGCAAAATAGTCATCTTTAGATATGGCTGTGGATCAATACCTATTAATACCATTTTTAGTGGGATGAACATCCATTTACCAGCTATTTTGATGTTCACCAGGGGTACAAGGTTTTGACACACTGCCATATGGAAAACATACTGCATGGGGGAAACCTTCCATGAAAATGATATGAACATGATATACCTTAGCAATCCAACTCAAAGGAAGAAAAGCCTAAAAGCTAGAACTCTGCTCTGTTTTTGGGAATGTTTTGGGACTGCCTTTGTACAAAAGAGTCCTACTGTCTGAGCCTTGCCATGGGGAAATTTCTCAAAGGGCCATCAACATCAGATGCCAGGTCGCAAGTGGACAGACATTTGCTCTGAGGAGAGGGGGAACCATGGAGAACCTGGGAATGACGGAGTTATTTGGGATTTTCAGGGTAGTTTCTGGAGTTGATGATGGCAAGTGTTTGGTAAAGGAAAATCCGTCCTGGCTATGCTGGTCCCAAAAAAGCTCGAGCCATATAATCATATAGATATTTGAAGGCACCATCCTCAGCAGGATAGTTATATAGACTATAGAGAAACTCACATTTCTAGCTCCAAGTTACCCAAATTCAGAAAATGTACATATACTATGAATCCATCGTACTCCAGACCTGTCTCTTTGGACCCACTGTTTTCCCAACCTGTTTCCCTGTGTGTGACATGTTTCACACCTGTGAATTGACTGGTTGAGATGGGAAGACCTTTCAGCTCAATTTGGAAATTGTTTGGCACCATGTCGATGCCTTGTGTTGTTCCTGAAATGCTATGGAGCCTGGATGAGCTAAAGCGTGTCCTGATAAGTGAGTTTCCCATTTTGGAGACTGAAGAAGGAGAGGGTTTCAACATATTGTTTGACTTGTTTGTTGAGTGGGCTGAAATCCTGTTAAATTACAACAACCAGCATCCGCCCACTCTGTTGAATTTAGGGAATTGTGGCCCAGAATCCTTCTCTCAGGGGATTTCCGGCCGCGCATACTCATGTCGCATCGCACTCGAGGGGTGTCATCGCACCCCAGAGGACCCCATCGCACTCCACACACCTACTCACAGATCATCGTACTCCACAAAAGGGATCGTACACCAGAAAAACTTGCGCAGACAGCCAAAAACTTTTTTTTTCGAAAAATTGACCTGAAGAGCTTTTTTTATTTTTTTTCCTCTTCGGAGGCAAAATGCTCTGGAATCTGATAATATGGAATATGGGGGAAATTGTTGTTTTTCCAGCGTTTTGAACAGTCGCGCATACAATCGCATTCCATGAAATTTTGATACTTTTGACCCGTGGAGGCTATGGAAATTCTCGATTGTTGTCTTAGTCGTGCGCGATAGAGTGTGATGCCTTGTGGGTATGTGGAATGGAATTTGCAGCCTCGAGTTGATCAAAAATGATATTAACATATGCCTGAGAAGCCCACATGCAGGAACGGCAACGCATACGAGGGGGGCATCGTACTCCAGGGGTGGCATCCTACTCAATGTAACTGTATTAAGTGGAAATATGGTACCATTTGGGTTCGAGGAAGAACAGCGTAATCCAGACTTGGCCCCGTTTACATATGCGGAAGCTGAGCCGCCAGCCAAACGCGTCAAAAAATAAGCTGAACAGCTTATCCAATGGTTTTAAAAGATCCTAGAGAGAAGCTGATGATTGATGAGAGAAACAAGACTTTATGATTATGTTTATTCAAGAAATCATTGCTTGAGAAGGTTCTCAGCGGGGTTAAACATGTGCGACTGGACATGACAGCACGTGACAAGGGAGCGCCTGACAAGGGTCACACAACCTTATTCTCATCATCAAAGGTCGTTCATTATTTTCCAAATTTCCGGAGCTATTTGGGCATGGAATATGAACAGCCTTGGAATATGGGTAAGATTTTGCTAGAACATTGCGAATGCAGGGTGAACAAGTTGGATATGGATGGACAGTTACAACTTGTCATCGGCCTCCCTTGGCCCTTGACGCTCGACAAACGGTGGCAGGAAGGAGAGGAGCAACTGATCCTGTGCTTATCTATGTACTTGCAATGTGTGCAAAGCTTGGTCCAAGGATCATTTGGGCTCAGTTGAGAAACAGAAAATGCACAAAGTGATTGAGGCCGATTGACGGTTGCTCAAACGTTACCACCGCACGTTAGCGATCTTTCGATGTTCGGGCAAGAACGCAGTTGATAGGATCAACCAACTTCAGGCTTGACGCTTCCCAACAGAGCAGACTTTTGACTCACAAACACCTCTATGGTATGTCTCTAATTATCTGTATATTTATATAATATATTATATAATATTATATATATGTAATTATTTCTATGTCTATATGTATTAATCTAATATATACACGGTTATATCCCATAGTATATCCCCACATATTGTTGGTTCTACACCCAATTTGGAGAGTAGCACTAGTGCTTGAGGCTCGTCTCTTCTTGAAGGGCAAGCGACATCAACGCCACCTCATTGCGAATGAGCGTGCCACGTTGATCTGTTTGCAACTGAAGGTGCGATGGGAAACTGTATGAAAATGTGGATTATGACATTATGACCATCCAAAAATGTTGGAAAATGGGAAATGAATCAACCAGATGACCATCCAAAAATGTTGGAACATGGGAAATGAATCAACCAGATGACCATCCAAAAATGTTGGAAAATGGGAAATTCATTCACCAATAACCCTTTTTGTGGGGACAAACTCCCTGGATTTCAGAATTTTTTCCAGCTCGCAGGCGGTGCAAATTCACCTGGCAGCCTCCTTACATGAGCAGCAAAATGCCGCTGCAGCAGGGCAGGAGGGGCGATTTTTTGTCAGCCGAAAGTGGGGATTGGTTGACCAACGGTTGACCCATATTTTCCCAGCGTTGACTGACCGTTGACTGACCGTTTTCGGTGATTGGTTGACTGCTCCGAAATCCCCAAGTTGCTTGAACATGTCATTGAAGATGGGGGAAGTTCATTTGGGTATGGATCAATACCTATTAATACCGTTTTTAGGGGGATGAACATCCATTTACCAGCTATTTTGATGTTCACCAGGGGTACAAGGTTTTGACACACTGCCATTTCAGCCATGTTCGGGATTTCAAAGGCCGCTTTGGTCTTCAGCAGAAATGGATGTTGTTGGGACTGCAAAGCTGGCTTGTCCAGGTTTCAAGAAACAACGCTGGCCTTGCAAGAGCCTCCCTTTTGTGTTGCAAATTAAGAGCAACAACACAGATGTCAGATATCCATAGGTAATTTAACATAGCTATGGAACATGTATGAACATATGAATCTTCAATGGGCATTGGGGAATTCATCTATAAACGGACCAGGGTACACATATCAGAACAGTAGAGCGAACTACTTCACCACTGAAGCCAGCTGGATCTCCTATCCAATCAACCATATCAGCCCTGGTTGTCAGTAATGATAATCTCATCCATACACCGATAGGAACGTTGAACATGACGTCCTTTAATGAAAGTGGAGGATTCCAATTGCTATGTTTGCCTCCTGGACGCTACCAGTTGTGGTTAATGACCTCATGATACCTCCATCCTGTCAGGAGACAATGGACTGGGCGGATGTGCCTGCGGATGGTGGTCGACCCAGTCGTTGTCGTGCGGTGAGCTGCGCCTTAGATCCAAGTTGAACAGCCAGTTTGCCCACTGGAAGCCATGGCCCAGTCAAGATGTTTTCCATGATTTGCTATAAAATTGATCAATCATGGTGATTTTCTAGAACAGTATATAAACAGTATATAAAAATAGATGTACCCTCTGGTAAACTAACACAACTATGGAAAATCACCATTTATAGTGGATTTTCCCATTAATCATGGTGATTTTCCAGAACTGTGAGTCATTACCATTTTGGGCATCTTCCACTGGCGCATCTCATCATCGATGTCCAGGTCCGGAAGCCCTGGCGGATGCCTTGCTGGATGCCACGGGCCGACAAAAGGGTTGGGTCGCCACCTTAGACCGATTTGGGTGACATAAAACCATAACATGTAGAAACATGATGTGGATAATTTAAGTGATGATGCTTGTAGTTACTTAAGTAATTACTTGTAATAAAAAGGTTGAAATCCATTGAAATCCAAAAGTCAACCAAAATTGTTGATTTCGGGGGCAATCCGCTTCGTTGGGACACAACTGTGTGCAGTGACTCTCTGCAAAAGCACAGCTTTGCCAAGGCTGATGCTGTCACAGCTTCCGCATCCACCGTTGAGGGGAACGACCAAGATCAAGATGAGGGTGTCAAGGAGGTCGCAGCCTTAGTTTTTCCACCGTCCGGGTGTTTCTGAAACTTCAGGGGCAAAGAAACAAACCTTCCAAAAGGGTCTTTAATGATCTTTCACATGTAGATTTTAATACCAACTTGTGCCACTGAGAATTACCAATTGATTGGGTCTTTCCTTCACGTTTCTTTCACGTTTCCTTCGCGTTTACATCCATTGTCCATTTTTTGGTACTTAGAATATCTTAGAATTCACAGATGATTGTATTTAAATGTATATTATATATTATATATATTGTATTTAAGTGTCCTTTTCCCAACTTTCTGTTTCCCCCCTTTGAAACAGCCTGATCGAAGATCAACTGCGGCTGAGGCGGAAGCACCAGGCATTGTGGCTAAAGGACCTGGTTTCAGCCCTTTTTTGGTGCCATCTGATGGGGTTCTCTGAAAATGGGCTATCTCCAAATGGCCATGGCAAATTTTGGGAGAATGGTGATTTACCATGATTAAGCAATGGATGGAATGGGGGTACCATGGGGTAGCCTTATTTTCAGACAAAGCCATATGGGGGTTTCTTATGGGGATACCCTCAAATCATCCAAGTCATTAGACCATTTTAGTATTGAAACCTATGGTTTTGGGGATCCCCCTATTCTGAGAAACCCCCATATGTTTTTTTCAAATATGGTCAACCACTCCTCAAGATGCTGGCTCATTTGGATGTGTATCATTTTTTGGGCATACTCCCAATTTATGGCCAATTTTTACAATCAAAATCAAGATGAACCAGCAGATCCACCTGCTTTTTTTTTGCATTTTTTTTCAAACAAAGGCCATTTTGGGGTACACCTACATCGTCCTGCTTGTGTCGTTGGGTGACCGCGGTTGCATCAGGATTTGAGGGAAAGATCACTTCCGAGCCCGCCGCCACACCAAGCCTTTCCCTTGGACCAGTGTGGCGCCCAGTGACGACAGCTAAGTGACTGTGAATGCAAGCTGCGTGTCTGAAAATAAGGAAATTCCATGACATTCCCCCAAGATCCAAGGTTTTCATGAGTTTGCCAATTCAAATGGCGCTATTCATTTGGGGTATACCTTAAACCCAAGGTTGAAGATCAGGAGGTGTGATCTATTGCGCCCAATTGGGTCAGAGAAATGCAACACTAGCATTCATTTGTAGTCCGATTCAATTCCCACAAGATTGGGCAGCGCGTTCCATCTACACTTTTGATGTGGGTTGGTTGGCACAACACTGAGGCCGGCGACGTTTTCGTAGTGATCAATCTGATGCAGAAGGAGGTTGAGGCATGGAGATGGCATATTCATATGGGTTGTGTGAAAATGGGATACAAAATGAACACCCGTAAATCTAGATCATCACCATGTGTTTCATTAAACTGCCCTAAATTGGGGATGGTCAAAAAGACAACCATTTTCAGACACACCCATTTTTTGACTTAATAGAAATTCATCAAGACGACATGTGTGTCCAAAAGGGCACTGCATCTTGGATATCTTGGATTCTTCGTGGTAGATCCTGTAGGTGTTCGCTGAGTACCACCAAGACTTCATTGCCACCTTTGAAGTTGCTGGATCCTCAGCTGTGGCACTGCGGATATCCTGCGCCATGTGGATGGCCATGTTGATGGAGCCATTGGGGGTGCAGTTGAGGTTGCAAATTCTATTACCTTTGGCGAATAAACCATAATAAAGCCTGATAAGTTGGGGATATATCCACTATAACTACAACTATGGTTAATCATATATATATATAATTATATATATATATATTACACACACACACACGTATGTATGTATGTATATATACATTTACCACTGGAACTGCACTTCCAAGTAGGATTCTTGTGATTTCTATGCTTGGGTTGACAGCCTTGATAGATAGAACATCATGCTTTAAATGTTACATGGACATATACTGAAATATACATATGCAGTACTGAAATACATGTTATGGAACTATCTCCAATCTGACACGATATGGAACTATCATATGAAAAAACATGGAGAGCCTACTAGTTAGTAGCCTGCAGTGTCATTAAACGTGGCTATCTAACTGCAGGGTACTGGAAAATCCTCCATAAACTGAGGAGAATTTTGAGGTGTAATGGGAGAAACATCAAACGGAATGGTGGATTTTCCAGCCACGGAGCTGATGACACCGCAGACTCGTTTGAGGTCAGCGCCTATCGCCACATCTACGACGGATTATCCAAAGCCAGGATCTCATGACGGAAAGAGACCAGATTTCGCAAGCAGTTTATGTGAGATGATTCATGTCTCAAATATCATCAAATATCTATATAGAATTATATAGATAATGTATGATAATGTTGCAAACATGGTCACCTAGTCACCTTCCAACATTGGTGATCATTCAGATTCATCTTTGTCTCTTCTTTTCGATTCATGGAGGATCTTTGGAGTCTCAAGGCTTTCAGCACGTTGAGGTCTGGCCCAAGGCCCTGTATCGACAGGTGGTTCTGCCATGACCTCAGCCTGCTGTCCATGGTTTTGCCCCAGGATTTGCCGACTACAAAGAAACCCCAAAAGACAAGAGATGAATCGCAGTGGCATGGGGTTAGTCATCATATTTACCACTAAGATTGCAATTGTTGGATTTGTTGGGGGTATGCTTCATATTTCTGGTGAATAACCAACCGATTGCTGGGGTTTTGCTGAAGCGACACGGACAGTCGATACAAGGTTGGGGAATCGCTCCTATTTGCAACTCTTCCTCGAACACTTGCCACTCACGAAGGACAAGTGATAGTGGAGGGCCGGTAGGGGGCCTCTGAAAGGACATAGCCTCTGGTATATTTAAATGCCAAAAACATCTGTAAGTGAAGGAATTTCCATTGCCATGCTTGAATCCCCAAAGGTATAGAGCTTTAATGAGCACGAAAAAATGCCAAAGAGAAGTGGTCATTTTTAGAACCTGCCAACTGATGAATCATGTGATCAAATTCTTGTGGGGCTCCTTCATTTGGGATGAACCTTCACTGTACCCATCCCAGTTGCTTTATGTTTGCAGTTCATGTTTGCCGTTCATCCCAAGAGAGTTGTGTATATCATATATAGTATTTTGCTGGGAGAAAAGACAGCACTTCAGGATACTTCAAGGCCCGACCACATCAGACTATCTGAGGGAGTTACCCCTTGTTTCAGGTGATGTTAACCGGATAGCCCGACCCAGATACGCCGGCGCTACGCTAGGACTGGTTGCATGCCATCGTCCAGCTCTGCCTGGATGAGCAGCTCGCTATCGATGGCCATTTTCACGGGGATGATGAGCATGAAACAGAAGCATGGGATGGGACAAGGTCCGAACTGTTTGAGATAAATAATTAGCAGACTTATCTATGGTATTCTATGGTTATTCTTTTTTTTGGGGATTGAACCGGGGTTCCAAGTGTTTGAGACAACACATATATATATATGATATACAACAATATATATATAATTATATATATGTATATAATATAATATATATATATATAATTATATAACATAATATAACATAATATAACATAACATAATATAACATAACATAATATAATATAATACAATATAATATAATATATAAAATATAATATATACTACATACTATTATATATATATGATGTATTATCTATGGTTATTTGAAACCCTGAAAACCACCCCGTAGCAACCCATGGCAACCAAGGCCATGCCCTGAACAGTTCCCGGCGCAGATGATGCGCATGAAGCAGTTCCTGAGAGAAGTCGGGAGCCGAAGCCGCTCAGCACAGCTGGAAGGGTCGCTGGAAGAAAGGATGGGGCCCTGTGAACTTAGAGAAATTCAGGAGTTGATTGCAATTCATTGACATGTTTTAACGTGTCATCATAATTGCTTCACAAGCAGCGAAAATGCCTCTTAGGATCAACCTTTGTTTGGCACAGCTATTGCTATTCAACAGCTTTAAACATCTTTAAACGAATGGATTGCTGAGCTCGTTCAGCTGATGCCGAGCTGCAGCTCAGGGTGTCCCCAACTTGGAGACGCGGTACCAACTGGCCCGGGCCAAAATGAAAGAAATCTACGGCTGGATGGACCAGGGACGCGCCATTGGCTGGACGGTGGTTTGTTAGTTGGACGGTGGTTGGTTAGTTGCTGGGTATAGAGCTAACAATTTCTGGTCAGCAATGAGTCAGAATCTTCAGGACTGGAGGACCATGTAGGGACACTGAATATTCCAAAAAGAATACTTCCGGATATCCCAAACCGGCCTTCATCGTCAGCCAAGCGTCCCCAACGAATCAAGGCCCGGGAGCTTGGCTCGGGCTTCACGGACATTGCCATTGAAACGGCATCCTCGGTTGGGAACTTAGGGCACTTCGGGCGGCCAGGACCTATGGGAGGGTCAAGCAACCAAGCAACAAGAACCAACATGGAGATGGGAACAGAACCATTTCAGCTGGTCAACTGTTCACTTGGATATCCAATTTTGACTAATTGCCACATGGAACATGATTTGCAGCCGATGATTTGTGTGTTTTTCCTCCTTATCTGCCAGATTTTGTAGGATGACTGGTGGTTTTGTGTTCTTTTTCAATCATAAAAATCAATCTCTTTTTGATGGGTGACAACCATCAGCCTGAACTTTGGATCAGGTCTACATGACATAGCCGGCAGATCCAAACGAAGGCCTGGTCCGGAAGCGACTCCCGCAACTTCTGGGCAGTGGCCGCACTCCTATTCTACAATTCTATATGTTTTGCTGTTTATCAGTATTTATTTCTGTAGCTTCTGATTGCTTCCTTTTGGAAGTGGCTGCAATCGGACAGGTGGATGTCAGAGGTGAAGCGCGAACTCGTCGTGAATCTTGTGAGGCCGGGATGTGCCATGCAACAGATGTTGAGGAATTTCTGAGCATTTTCGCATGTATGCAAAGTTGATCGATAATCATTGGATATATTACATGTAACATGTACTTCTAGCTGTCTTTCTGGTGTTCTGATTTTAACGAGTATTTTCATGGTCTTCAGAGTTTGCACCTTTCTTTCAGGCGAAGATGGTCAGTTCCCTTGAGCCCGATGGATCCGTACACCCCAGCAACTCGAGACACGCTCAAGTTGGCCGTGCCAAGCAGCGAACATGCTGCTGAATGGTGGTGCAAAATGGGTTTCAAGCATACCGCGCTTGAGCAGATTTGGGAGAGTATATTGAGTTTATGCAGAATTTGCAGTCATTTGTGGTTTCTCTGGTTGTGTCACTTCGGTAGAGCATAATTTTAAATCTGTAATTTGACACGGCTCAGTGTGTGAACACATGGATTTGCAACCATCAGGGCCTACATGAGCTTTATTGATTCCATTATTGATCTTGATGTTCTTTGGAATTGCTGTGCAGCAGAAGAACAACTTGCAAGTTCTCTTTACACATGTGCTATGTAGCATTAGTGTCCTTGAGCTGTTCTTTTCAAGCGTCCTGCGCCTCCTATGGGACATCCACCCCTTGTGCTGGTGACTTAGTTCTGGTGTTGATTTTGGCTGCCTTTCTGGCTTGGCTAGGGCTAGGGAGAGAGATGGGGTTGAGTCGGCAGCGGAAGAATCCAGATCTTTAGTGACCCTGGCGATCGACCTTGGGAAGATATGTGGGGATTTCCCATCGGCACTGGCAAGTTGTTTTTCGGCGAACACTCCCAAGGTTTGTGTGCACCACAGGCGCGTCATGGCCAGGGCCAAGCACTACAGAGGTGAGAGAAGAGTGTTTCAAATATAAATTTTATATGGTTTCGTCATGTGCAGGAGGTGGGTTTTAATGCTTGTTGATGTTTGTTGAGGCTCTTGGATGCTTTTGGCATTTTCTGCGATCTTCCTGCCGCAGCCGTTCTGAAACCCAATCACTTGTGACTAGATTCTGTGACCCTCTAATTGAGTCAGCCTAGAGAGATCATGGAAAGACAACCAAGCTCCGTGGATGATGCTGCCAGCTGGGTTGCCGAGTTTTTGCTCCGCATCTCCTGTTCTGAGCAAGAGGTGGGCACAGCTAAGGATTGCATTCTCCATGAAAAGATCGATCGAGAGGTGTTGGTCGATATGTCCGCAGAAGACATTCAGAATAAGATGCACTTGAAGTTCGGAGACGCCAGAAAGCTGGAGAAGGACTGGCCTGGTTTTGGGAGGTTTCTAGGCATTGAAGAGGTTCAAGATGCGGTAAAACAACAGGTATGCAGACTGCTGTTGTTGAGCAGGTTTCATTCTAATTCCTTTCGGGGGACACTTAGCGATTTGCCTTCGGATCGGCATTGCTCCACCACTACAGCACTTGTAGCAGCAAAACACTCTCAGCTGCTGATCGTTCCTTTTCCAACTGTTGCGAGATCTTGTGCTTCTTATTGTATTTTTGCAGGAGCTGCAGTTGTTTAACCGCTTTTGGCAGCTGGTGCGTGATGCTGATGAGGCCCTACCTACCCAGGTGGCTGAAGCTGCTCAGGCGCCAGTGTCTGAAGAGCAAGTGCCCTCAGAGACTCCAGTGCCGCTGGAAATTCCAGTGCCCCTTGTTGTTGCCCCGCCACTTCTTGTTCCCGGCTGGCGCCGCTGGCGCACACCACCAATGTCACAGAAGATGACTTGGATGGTGGGCACCTTTTTCTTCCTGACTTGTGGCATGGGTGTTGCAGTGTGGGAGAACCGCTGGCAGAAGGACTTGTGCAGTGAACTCCTCGCCTGTGGCATGAATGAGGGCCGAGAGGTTGCAGAGATTTTCCAAACTTCACAAAGATTTGAGAGGTTGCTCCGGCCGCCAAGACTCATAGATTCCAACTGGTTGAGGGCGAAGCTGAAGTTTGGTGGAGGCCAAGGGTTCGATTAACATGGTATAGAATTGTGTTATACTATGTTATACTTAATTTCAACCACTGGTCTCTATATCCCGGCTTCTCAGGGACGTGTATGTCCAAAGGTGTTCCTGAACTATGTTGTTTTGGGCGTCTAAGTTTGGGCAATTTTAGCCCATATGTACATTTTGACGTCGTGATTGATGTTTTTACTTTACCCAATGGACATTTCGAGGTTGCGAGTGGCATTTTTGATTGCTAGAATCTATTCATGCCTTCATCGCTTTTTGCAATGTGAGTGATGTCCTTGGTTTACCTATTTGGGAGCACAACCATAGGTCAGCATCTTTCATTTTGGCAACAGCCCTCTACATTGGCCGTTCTGTGTTGACAAGGGAGGTATGTGAATGACTGTGACCTGAAGAGATTTGAGAAAGTTCTAATGTGTCTAAATCAATGGTTGTGGCTGCACATGTGGGACGTTCTTTGATGCAGCAAGCCTGTGGCTGTGGGAACAAGCCAGGGCAAACCCGCTCAAACAGCAAGCATCCGTGGCTAGGCCTTTTAACGCATGTTGGCTCGCTGTTCTGTTTCTGATGATTTTGCTTGTTTGGTCCGCCTCCAAACAGCAATCTATCATGCAGTTTTGGCGTTGCAATTGTGGAGATGATGTGATCCCAAGATGGGGTGCAAACATTCGCGCACTCCAGTATCCAATACGATGTGTGATTCAATGTGATTCTGCATGATATGATATTACGGCACATCATTACAGATATTACAGCGTTTTCTTATCAGACTCAGAAAGAGTTGGGCTGACTCTTGGAGGGAGGGCATATAGCTGAACGTCCTGGATGAAAAACATGTTGCTGTTAAGTGGATGGTGCAGCATGCCTGCCCCTCTTCCAGACTTGTGCTGGCCCAAACTTTGGTGATCCATTATTGGGCTTCTTATGAGCTGAGCCATGGAGGCTGCTTCACTGCTGAAAAGGCAAAAAGCCACTCCCGTAAACATGCACTCTGCAAACGCCTGGGGCTGATGCCGCCAATTTGCTCGTCAGCATGGTGATGAATCAATCACGGGTTATTGCCAAGGTTTTGCCAGCTGCACCTGCTCTTCAACCCCTCGACCTGTTCCCATCTGTCTGCATCCGGCGGTCACTTGGCAAAACTTGTGGGACAGCTACTTTTTCTAAAACGACCTTCTCCCACTTTGTTTGGTATTTCTCTTCCAAGTTGTTATCATTCATGTCCTTTCGCATTGTATTCTATTCCGTTTCCTGTTTTTTTGTGCTCCTGCACACTTGTAGCTGCGCAAGTTGTCAAGTTCTTGGGTTGGGGCTCACTTCCTGGTCGCACCTTCCTCCACTTCCAGCTACTCAGGAAAAGGTAGACGCCCCTTGGCTTTGCCAATGCTTCTGCTTCTGCTCGCAACGGCCGTGGGTCATCTGACATTTATATAAAGGTGTTGATTTTTCCTACATCTCCTGAGCAGCAGGCTGCTGCTCAATATAGCTAAGTCTTTAAGTCAGCAGTCAACAGTCAACAGTCAACAAAACAATAAAATGATGATCCATGGTTATATTGTGAAATGGCTGAGCTCATTAGATTTTTAACGATTTGATATTGTTATATTCATGTGACCACTGCAATCCAACCAAGGAGTGGGCATAATTGGCCGCCCAACATGCGGAAGCGCGTAGCTGTAGCTGTTGTTGCGCGTGCGTGGGGACATTGTCTCTCACCTGGGCTTTGCCCAGATGTGCTTTTTGGTGGAGAGCTCATGGGAGACAGGCGGCAGAAGCAGCAGCAAACCTCATGAATTTCATACATACAAGCGTACACATGTCCTTTGATATTCCTAGCTCTGCCTTTGTCTTACCTCCACCATGTCATGAGCGCGTGCTGCGCTGCTGCGCGTGCGACAAGAGTCAAGAGTCGGCCTTTTGAGCCTCTGTGTCCGGCAGACTGTTTTCCGTAGCGTTTTTCCGTAGTTGATGTTTTGGCGCGCCGCGGCGCAGCAACTGCCCCAGGCATGTCTCCGTGCTTGCGTTCAATCATGGTGCTCACCAGCCATTATACTTCCAGCAGCAGAAGCATTGATGTCATCGCCTCGAGCATTTCTTTATCATCTCTGTAATATTTTTAGCCAAATTGCCGGTTTGAGACGGCAGATGCT